AAAGGTGGTTGTTGCGGCTCAAGTGGCCTATTGGATGATAACTTGAAGTTTGTAACGATAAGTGTCCGTTTGAGTCTCATTGGAAACACCATTACTTCCAGCGAATCCAGGTATATCTAGTTAGCTATTAGCTGATTCCTATTTACGACAAAATGAGCTTCGTGGATTCCAATGCAAGTCACCACCAATCCTAAGACTACGCCTATCTGATGAGTTTAAAACCAGTCATTTTCTTGTCAAACTGTTTCTCCAGTTGACATGGATGACTGACAAAGAAGAACCTTTCAAGTGAAAAGTTGTCTTTCTCATACCGTCAAACACTTCGAATAAGCACAATGTTTTACGTCACCAATCTGGTCCCTTATCACTGATTGACCAGTAGTGGTTTCATTATTGAATTAAAATAATGGACTCCAAAATCTTAACAGGATTCACTCTACCTGTGTAGTTGTTACTGTTGTATCAATTTCACCTAATTTCTCGTGTTCATTTTTCTAACCTATTAAAATAGGACCCCCCAGTCCCACTGTTTACACCTGCGAATATCTAAAATGTTTACAATCTGAGGATTTGCAAATTTCTACTAAACTTAAGAAAAAGCATCATTTCGGGTGGCAACGTGCTTTAATACGCATTTCTGTACACTAAATGCCTGTTCCTGAGATTATGAGTACACACTGTAGCCCACTGCTTAATAAAGTTAACTGTCCACAATTTCTCATGTCTTACAGAGATACAGGGATTATAATTCTCTCGGAAAACTGTCCTCATGATCTATGTGATAATAAATTAGTCTGCCTAAATGATTTGAGATTATTGAGACAAGATTGGTGTAGCTTGATAGGTACCCAACGCCAATTTTGATATCACTGTTAATACACTGGGTAGTTTGCGAACGAATTTCCTATAGTCAAAGTTAAACTATTAGGTCCCAAGGGATGTGAAGGCACGAGTGCGCTTGAGTTGACCAACCACTGAAATAAGTGACTTTTGCACAAAAAATGATTTTTGTTTACAAAAAATGCATGATAACAAGTTGAAAATGGTATTTTTCTCTTACTTGGCTTAAAAATACGTCCCACTTGTAATGGGAAGCGTCAGTTTATGCTAGACCAGTTTCTGTACATCTGTTCACCGAGGTGACTTAAGGTGAGCTTTTTCTGTGACCAGTGTATCGTTTTTATTCTCTTTTCCAGTCTTCCCAAAAGCCCTTGGTTGAATTACTATGGTTTTTAATAAGAGGATCGACAACTACTTACCAGGAAAATGTGAATAATTAAACAAATTAAAGCAAATAACACCAACTCCAAACTTATCCTTAATCTTAACCCTAAGCTTAATCCTAACCCTAATTATAACCCCTATCCTAACCTTAATGCTAATTATAAATCTGATCCTAACCTCAACCGTAATACCTACCTTAACCTTAATACTAACCCTAACGAACTATTAACACATTGTCCAAACAAAACTCAAAATCGTGATCTGGGCGAAATTTTCTCCTTAGTGGAAGAAGTGTGTTCGTATTAGCGGTATAATAATGATATGTCTAGTTATCCAACGACTAGCATGCCCTCAAGGTCATTGGAGAGTTCGCATCCCTGGGACCCTATAGTTTAACTTCACCTTCCTACCTTGTCAGTTTGCGAGCCTATTGTTCTAATCTCTACTAGTAACAACAACAACGCGATATTATACCACCGAAAACACGACGCAAGAAGACAAGCAGAGAAGTCTGACTGTTAATGTGGAGAGCTTTTACTGCCTCGTATCAAAACTGAAAATGATTGACAACGCTTGAGTATATATATATATATATAATGCTTTAAATGATCCTGAGAGACACTGACTACATTGAATAATTAAAACAATTAACCACCAATAGAATTTCAAAGGTCATAAGTGGGATGAAAGAAATAAAACCAGACATGTAAAAGTACAGGTAGAAGATTAGGTCTATACATCACCTCCCTTGTCAGAGAAAAGAACATGAACGTGTACAATAAAATTAGTACCTCTTCTTCTTTGGGTCAACTTAGAAAGTACCGTCTTGGATCTCTTGCGACTGGATTGCCTTCTGGGCTGAGACTCCTTCTTGTTCTGTGACTAACACTTTTTTTTACCTTAGTATCCACTGGAGGTAGTTTAAATGTATCAAGTAAGATGTCTAGGGGTATCTCAGGCTTTGATGAAGTCACTTGGCAGTGTCGTAATTGGTTATGTTTCCTTCTCCACTTCCACTTCATAAATTACTGTTTCACGTATAGCTTAAATCCATTTTGCTTTTCCCGGGCGATAATCTCCAGCGTAGACAAGGTCATTCTTCTGGATATAAGTCATAGCAGTAGGGAAGTTGAGTGGTGTCATAGGTGTCTTTGCTCTTGGTATTTTTCATAGTGGTGCAACTTTCGAAAATGACTTTGAAGGGGCTGGTTTTTGAGGCTCTAGTGCCTTTTCAGGAGCTGATTGGGGTGCTGGAGTTGTGACACCGGCTTCTTCTAATCTTTCCAGCTCAGCTTCCACTAGCTGTTGTGAGGCCTACAGGATGGGCTTTTATATATGTATATATGAGTGTAATGTCGATACATTATCTTGGAAAGACTAAAAGATGCTATAGATGCAAAACTCCGCCCGAAATTGGTTGGAACTAGAAAAGCCAAGTCATTCAGGAATCAGATTATAGCATCATCGGACAGAACGCAGAACGATAGTCAACTTTTTACTTCAGCTTAACTGACTATGTAGAGGCCTTAAACAGTATAAACCGTGAAATAATTTGGAAACTGCTTCAACATTACGGAGGACAGCACCACTTCTACTGTCTGGAGTATTCGGTGAACTTTCTTTCAGCAAACGATACACAATAAAAAGGTGACTTTTCATGGCTGGCTTTATGGCCTTTGCGGAGCAGGAGATCAAACATCGAACTCTTAATGCTTTTGAATACACCCTAATTTAGTCACACTGTTAGGTGTATCTCGATCGCGAAATGTCATGTTCATAAGAAAACGACCGATATAAGTGGAGTTACATGAAGAGTTGAATTGATAGAAACATGAAGAGGTGGCTAGCCTAGACACTTCACCTGTCAGATTTGATTTCACAACTGAGCTGTAATTTGTCGACATTTAAAGATCTCTGAATTTACTGATTTGTCAACTGTCCCTCCATGTGATACGTCACTTCTAAACTGCTATCGCATATAGAGTGTCTTCTTTTTCTTAGATGCAAAACATTTCTTTCTGACTTTCGTAGTCATGAATTTTATGAAGAAGTGATCAAGTTTGATGGCTGCATTCATTCAGCCTTAGTATTAACCAGAATTGAGTTCAGGAAAGAAAGAAAAGAGTTTTTATCTTATTGATTTGTTAGACCGTAAATATAACACGAATTTGTACTTATCATGTGTGTTGTTCATGACCGTTCGGACTTTACTTACATTTTTTTATTATACCTTGATTCCACACAGTATTTTTGGTACGAGTATGGAATTTTCAGCATGTGGTAATGGTAGCCCAAATTTTGCACGCCGTCCATTGATATTAGGTGTAAGTCTGCAGGGGATCGAACCCCGGACCATTTGCATAGTCGGCGAGAGTCCTAACCGCTGTGCCACTGACGCAAAAGGAGATATGTAGATATTATGAGATATCATCATGCTATTAATCACAGACTAACATTTCTTCACCTATAAATCAACCCTGTGTCTTAATCATTAGGCCTGATTCTTTATCAATGTGGCCAGCATTATTATTAATTATCTAACAATTTCTATTTTGTTTACACTCATTTAAATTTCACTCTCAATCCAACGACCTTATCTACATATATGATTTCCGAAATGTGAATATTACCGCAAAGTTATAACTTATTGACTGATATGAAAAATTTAAGAGCAGTTTGGAGTATCTCGTTAACGAAGTTACTCACCTGAAGGGCACCTGAGATTTTCGCTGCTAATTGCTGGAAACTACGATGCCTACGTCAAACTACAGCTGCCTACCAATCTCATACTAAGCATGAAACAAAACAGCACCAAAAGTTACATCTATTATTGTCTCTTATTTCACAGTACCACGAAGACTTATGAACATCATTCAGCAGCTACATGATGATGCGGCATACCAATTGATTGTTACCTAAAGGCTCAGTGAAGCGTTTGAATTGAAGACAGGAATAAGGCATGACTGCTAACTGTTACTTACAATATGGCTAACTGTGGTTAACTGGATTGCATGACATACTCAGTAAAGTGAAAATAGGAGAATATGTTGAACCGACGAATAGATCCCACAAAATCTGGACTTAGCGAATGATTTATTTCCCGTATTAATTTCAGAACATTATTTTAGAATATGATAGTGAAACATTTGGTTCTGCAAATTTTTATGTTCTTTACTGACACTTTAAATATCTACGTGTTCATAATATTATGGTAATTAATAGCTATGGAGCTAAGAATCTAATTGTTTCATCGTATGTTATTTTTTCACACTTCGGGTTTATTGAAGTTATTCAGCTGGGGTGACTGACTTGAAGATACTACTCATCAATGATTGACATCACCTGCAAAACCTTGGTAAAATAAATCAAAAACAACTACACAGATAGTTTCCCAGCTACTTAAAAACTCTTCTACACGGACTCAAAGTTCATTAGTTTTGGGTAATAAAGAGAATAGGCTACAAATTAGTCGCTGTATTTAACTCATGCCTACCTGTGGGTTTAAACTACCTATTAATCACAACATGTTAACGCGAGTAAGCAGAAATGGTTAGCTCAGTTCTTAGAATAAGGAAATCAACTAAAAGTTAACTGTTTGCTTACACTATTATTAAAGCATGATAACACTCACTCTCTTGTGTATAGAAGGTGATTCTTTGTATAAATGAAAACTAATTTATTGGCTGTGCATAGTATCTGGGTGATTGTGTGCATAGAAGACATGTTCAAGTGCAGGGTGCTCAATTAGGGCGTGTTTTTTTAGTTTTTGTTTTTACCTGTGAAAGTCGTCTAGATGTAAGTGAACGTCTTCGTTGTCCTAATGATTGTTCCTTTAAGATGCATACAATTTAAAGATTTTTTAGAAAATAGAAATAAACGTTGAGGAAAAGGAGAATAATAATAATTCAATCTCTCTTATGGAATTTTTTTTAAAATTGACAGTAAACGACATGTTGCTAAGTTATCCAAAAGAATCAGGATTATGAGTGAAATAGTATTCGAAAACATTTATTCTAATACATTTGAATAGCCTAGCAACATGCCAACTGCATTCAGTCATTAAAAACTCACTTTAACTGTATCAGCGAATGTAATCTAATTTGATTAACGTCTCACAGGCATGTTCACCACACATATGACAAATCAATGATTTAAGTCCAATTAAGAATACAACAGCTGGTCGAGAACCCCTTCCTTGAAAATGAAGTTATCCTATTTTATACATTTTGATCAGTTTCCTGAATAAAATATTTCAGAAAAATTTTAATATACAGTTACACATATTTTAATTTTGACAGGATCAGTTGAGTTCGAAGCAGTTTTTTATCACAGATTGATCATAACGAGAGAATAAGTATTCCAGTGAATGGATGTATGACATGTGATTCGTCTATGTCAGGTGTCAGCTGATATTGAAGGACTGGTCTGCACTGACTCCTAGTTTAAAGATACGGTGTGAACACTTCACCTATTTGGAAAATTGTAATATCCAGTTTCTGATAAAAGGCTATGTGGAATGCACAGTAGCTCTCGTTGTTCTCCTTTTAAGCTATGAGACATAGTGATTGGAAGTGAAAGATGTGAAGTTGTTAACTGTGTTTATATTCCCTATCCTGTACTAAGTAATACAGTCAAGCGAGCAATATTGGGGTTAAGTGTCGAGGGTTAGGTAAGGAGAACAAGGTTTACATACCTTTATTCATTTTTTACAATTATTAACATTCATCTGTTGGTTAGGTGCCGCCTAGTGATAGTATCCTGGTTGAAAACTTTAAAGAATTCCCTATATGTGCACAAAATATTCATTGTAAAAGTAAATAAAAGTAGGCAAGAACTGGCCGGGAATCATGCCGCTGCATAAATGATTCAACTATGGAATAGAAAGAAATTATTCGGCCGCCAACATTTCATTATGCTACAAAGAGAGATTTTAGTATCATTTTTGAAGTGACTTATTATTTAGACTGCCCTTTTATTGCTTCTTACCTCTGATGTTTATTTTAAAAGAATGACCATCACAGAATGATAATAATTTATAAGACATTGGAAAGTAGTTTTATCCTAACAGCAGACTAAAATATTCCCCATATTTGTCAAAATGCTACCATTTATGGTATACTGGTCGTGATATTGGTAATAAAGGTATGACCACATCACTGATGATATATTTTGTAAAAGTAGTGGTGTCGTATAAGGATTGTTAAGATAATAATGTCAGCTCATGATGAAAATCCTGTAACTAATCAAATCCCTACGAACCAACATTTGAGTGCTTTTATTCACTGTATATTGTAACATTCTCAGCGTTGTTATTATTATTATTGTTTACTTTAGTTCCTAGAGGAAGATAGGGCTTCAGCCGCACGTCTCCATTGCTTCCGGTTTTCAGACAACGTTTTCACGTGGCTCCATGTTTGCCCAAATGCTTTCATCTCCTCTTCACATGACCCCCTTCATGTCACCCTTGGACGACCAACTCGCCGCTTCCCACTTGGCTTCCACTCCAGCGACTGCCTGTCATTCGATGGTTTTCTCAGAGTATGGCCAATCTACCTCCATTTCTTTCTGCATAATTATTGCACAATTGGTTCCTGGTCGGTTCACTCCCAGAAATCCATCAATGTTGCTGATTTTTTCTGACCGGCCATCTACTCTTGAGTACTGAGCAAAGACAGCTGTTGGTGAAGGTCTGTAATTTTTTCGAAGTAGCATTCGTGACGCGCCAATTTTCTGATCCGTACAGTAGCACTGTTCAGCGTTGTTAACTGAGTAAAGATTCCTTCAGCAGTTCGCATCATTTTATCCTTATTACTGGTTGGTAACTACCCGAAAAGCCTTACATGAACGACCAGTAACTTATGGTGTGAGAGATATAAACCAACTAGTTAAGAAAATCGATCCAAGGAACGTCCAATGCCGGAACGCTGCAGCTTGTATTTTCCACACAAGTGGCTATGATTCCAAAGCTGAAAGACAAAGTACCTAGGCAAGCCGTCTTTGATTGTGTCTACTAATGCTCCACTCCTTTGGAGTCAGTTAAATTGATTGCTGCTCTGGGAACCTAATTTTTAATGTTCGGGAACACCTACTAATGGGGTTAAATGAGTGTTGTTAAAACCGTTAACAGTAATACATTTGATCACCTCACGCTAACAGGCCACAAAGGTAACATTGAAGAATCTTCCTCTATCATCCACCACGTATCAAATAAATTACCAAAGGCCTTTAGATACCAAACACTCAAAACAGCAGAGGCCATTGCAATTCGCCTAAAACAAATAGAGCTCTGTATGCAAAATAAGCAGGTCCAGCCACTATTGCTACCCTGGCACTCAGTCGAACCTACGAATTCATAAATTCTGTGTTACCTGAATTTATCTGCTAACCAGTTTAGCGTTATATTAATACACATTATCTCCCAGTTACTGATGTTTTGAAATGTAATCTGTGGATACTCCTGAGTTAATGTAATTCAAAACACTGGTGTTGTTAATAACAATATTTCCTTAAACATTATTGTTAGATATATGAAGAACTTGGTGATGAAATTATCGAAAAAAATATTATTTTGTTCACTCACCAATCTTTAAAATTTTTGGTGAAATGATTATTAAGAGGATTCAGCGTATTTGTACGGCTGATGTTATAGAGAAGGAAAATAAAATACTGATGGATACGCTTGTTGAAAACGGATATCCAATAAAATTTTTAAACCGGTGGAGAAGTCAGTTAGTTCTAAAACCTACAATCTATTCCTCCCCTAAGAAAGATGTCTTCATCAAATTACTGTACAACGGGTAAATAAACAGTAGCATTTTGAGACAGAGATTAAACTCGGTCATCTGTAAGACCTATTATGCAGCCTGGCTTGTAATTATCCAAAAAGCTAAAAATATGCTCCACTACAAACCTAAAAATTGTACAAGTGATTATTTATCAGAGGATTTCATCATGAGCTGATATCAGTTAGAGAACCACTGGATAACCGGTTAGGAGTAATGGACAGCTGTTCCCTCCGTCCTAGTTTGGGAGTCCTCAACAGCACGCACCCATCGGGGTTCGAACCGAGGCCCTTCTGGCTAAAGGGTGAGCGTGTAGACCATTAGGCCACTGGGACTCGATCCAGTGTCACACGACTCCTAACTTCTGCCGTGGCCAATAGTATGCAGCAGGTTGAAGGTGAGGTAGTAACTCATCGAAGAAGGTATTGAGAAGTGATCGCGCTATTTCATGAATTGGCAGATGATGATTCCATATGATTTTCTGATGACTGCATGATTACATATCATGTATTGTATGATTTGCAGTATTTGAAATTGTCGTTGATATTACATGATTGTGTCGAACTACTTATTATATTCAGTAGTGTCATATTAATGAACGAAAATTCAGATGACCAGTTACCTTTATAGTACTGAAAAATAGATGACTTTTTGTATAATTTCACAGTTTAAGTAATTTCACCTCACAATAAATACAAAGAGTGCCAATAAAATAAAGAATGAAAACTGATTTCTCACCTTTATGGAGTCTTTCTCACTTTTTCTTGCTAACCATAATTCATGAACTAGTAACAGGCAATCTCTCAGCTGCATTGGTCTGGGTTTTACAGTTGAATCAGTTTGCAAAAATAATGGGATAAAATTCAATTCTTCCTGCATACAAATAAACAGAGAGGGTCAAATGAAGTAGTATGCATATGTAAAGTGATAAGCTGTAACTAAAATGACGGGGTGATCAGGCGAATAAAGTTTTAGATTTGTGCAAAGTTGATTAGTTCAAGGTAAATTTACACCACATATCAGAATCAGCCAAAGAACTAATCTAAACTAAAGACACGTAGAAAAGTGTTGAGTTTTAATTCAAAATTCGTCATCAGTGCTTAGTGAAGACGTTGTAAGCGTCTCTCAGATTACAAAGTTGAGTGTGTTGCCATTAAGTTACTTTCTCAACATCCATTACTAAATGGTTTCAAAGTTCTACTCTTTAGACTTCTACCTCTCGCAAACAGCTATGAAATACTCCTTCATTTCAAGTGCTCCTCTGGTTGATGTAAGTTTACTTCATATTTGTTTCAGTGTGAATAAAAAACAAATTCGGCCTTCTATAAGATCAATGCATTTGAATTGGGAGAAATAAGTAGGATAGTGCTACAGCATATATATATATTTATATACATATATATATATATATACATAATTTAGGAGATTTTAAGTGCTAAGCAGTTGATAAGTACGAATTCATCACCCACTAATTTACAGTCTTACAAAATAAGCTTTGTCCAAGTCATTGGTCAGATACATATATCAGTGGAGTACTAATCTACTTTAAAATTGTTTAAAGATATCTTTTACCCCACTCTCTGAAATATAAATATTTTAAAAAAAATAGTTCGATCACGCACTGATATCATTTGGAGAACCACTGGAAACCAAGGTGTACTGGACAGCTGTTACATCCTAGTTCAAGACTTTTCGATAGTACATAGCCACGACCTCGTGGCCAGTGGTTGAACCCAGGACCTCCTTGTCATGAGGCTAGGTCATCGACCATTCAGCCGCTTAGGCCGGAAGTTAGTGACCTGTGAATTTCAACTTTTTCAATTCGTGATAGAGAAATTTACTTATTTGTATCTTTTTCACTAATTATATGTACATTACAATGTAGAGTATAAGGAAAATATATCAGTGGATGTTTTCTGTGGACTGACAAACACTTAAGTATACTGCAGAATTTTTAAATTGTCAGCTTTATGGATAATTGTTTCGTAGTAAAAATTTGAATGGCGCTAAAAATTGCGAAATGACGAAAGTTGAAATTGATAGGCCACTGGTTTCCCTTCCAGTGGTTCAATGATCTACGAGCTCACCTCGCAATGTGAAGGTGCTGGGTTAGATCCCTGGTGGTGGGTTAATGGGTGTGTTCCTCTGAAGAGTCCCAAGACTAGGACAAAAAAGCTGTCCAATACTCCCTGGTTTCCAGTATTTCTTTAACTGATATTGATCCGCGATTAAACTTAACACCAATCAAATCCCTAAAAACTAACACGTGAAAAATAACAGTAAGAATAATAGTTAGCGAAGATTATGGATAAAATACTGATTTTGTTGAAGTGGTTTGTTTTTACCTTAATATATGTATTTAGATTAAATTCAGTGTCTTCATTATTTTGTAGTGTTAACTGATTGACCATGAAATGCATTTTCTCTTGTGATGTCATTGAAACGGTTTCTTCTAACCATTTTGTTAAACCACCTGGTAATTTACGTCCAACTTCATTCCATTCCGGTCTGTTGCAGAATAAAAATAATTCAAATATTCAGTGAAGAATTTTTGTCATTTGGTGTAAGAATATTCAGTTCGGAGTGATTTCTAAAGTGAAATTCTAGCTGCCAAACAGTGGGTGCACACTGTTGTTGAGTAGTGACAAACTAGAACGAAACAACTGCCTCATTTTCAATGAATCTCTGATTTTGGTTCGTGATGACATCTACATTGAAATTAATTCAAATCCCTGCAAAAATCCATAATCTTAATGGTATTATGTTATGCTGAAAGTTGTTGTTCATTGATGATTCAATGAGAAATTTAATTCTTAGTAAGTTCTACAAAAAATATAGTAATTAAAACAGTATTAATTAAGGATGAAATAAGAATGCCAGCCAACGAAATTCCCAGGTGTGATAGCAAATGGATTTAGACAGAGTTTTGACTTATTTTTATTAAAAGCAAAACTTCCAATATATAATTTAGGTGACAATTTTTCAGAGTTTATATGGATCCGCCACAACCTGTTGACAATATTAATACTTATTTGAATATTTCAACTAAATTTGCTGTCCAGTACTCCCAGGTTTTCCAGTGGTTCTCTAACTGATGTCAGCTCATGATGAAATCCTCCAACCAATCAAACAAAAAAGAAATCCCTACAAAACCAATACTTGTAAATTTGTAATTGCCACTTTCCTCCTCACCAGTATATCATTGTTCCAAAGTTTGCCTAAATCTTTTCGTTTAAGTCATTACTGTTAATAATAATAATAATCACTTTATTCCACAACAATAACAATTTACAGCATGGAATTTTCAGCGTTTCATTTTACATATTGCATTGGTTTACATACACTACCGAAATTTGATGAATTCGTTATATCCTTTTTTGTTAACCTTTGCTGCTTGTTTTAAATTCGTATCGGGAAATAAATTTTTCCAAGTCTTTTTATATTATTGAAATATAATTTTGGAGCGTACATCACTCACTGAGGTTTGGCAAGCCATAGAGAAGAAAGCATCGACTGGCCTCTTGTTGTCAGACCGAAACACCTGGGTTTCCATTGTTACATCCATCACTCCTAAAAAACAGTCACACTTTTCTTAAGCAAAGTGATGCCATGTATTCAGATCAGTAGTCTTCTATCTATTTGGTGCAAGTTATTTTTTTCATGACGAACTATTTGTAATATAGTCGGTGATTTCTAGTCACTTAGTTACATGGTTTGTAGAATAGCACCTACTTGCAGAATACTTTACGTCACTAATTGACATCATTCAGAGAATTATTAAAACTTAAAGAGCGTTGAATAAAAAATTTGTTCTAACTTAAGACTCTGCAGCAGTAAACATGTGAAATGGAGTGTGAGTCCAACCGTGTGAGTATATAAGTTATAGAGAAACAAACTTGCCGTTCTTTCATTTCCGCCTACTTCAGTGGGTAGAACAGAGGCGATCAATTACGATTTGAATTCTCCCCGGTAGTTGGCCTTATCTGATTTTGTATTACGTCCTTAGAGGAATGCTGAAAACATGTCACATGTTACGTTTGTTGGTTTGGAAAGCATTTTATCAACTTTTTTAGACAGTTGGAATATCTATTTTGGCTTTTGTCATACTATGTGCCGAAATACCTCACAACTGCTTTTTTCTCACTCTATCAACCTCTAATATGCCACATGAAAATTCAGACAAAGGATTAACAACCGATGCCCAACACTTCCATCACCGAATTTCATCGGTGTTAATCCATCTTTCCTTTCTAAAAGGCCTCTCAGAATTTACCATAATAGTTTAGGAAAGCCTAATTAACAATCACCTGCCGGAAAAAAATGTGAATTTTCTCAGTATTTAGATTCCCAAATCAAGCAGATCAGGTATCTAACTTTTGACGATTTCAATGGATCTCTAGGTGAAATTAACTTTTCATGAAACTAATTCGAATTCCTAGTCTCGTTTGCTGTGTATGTCTTTGATTAGACAAACTAAAATTTCATTTCGTTTCAAAGGATAAATATCTCATAAAAATATGAAGAGAGAGAGAACTGAAAAGAGTACACAGTAAAATTGGTTGAGAAGTAATAAACACTAAATAATTGATCGTTTATTTGAAAATTTTATAAAATCTAGGCTTTGATGTAATCATGACATACGGAACAGTGGTTGTTTTACTTTGGTTTGGTTTAATTGCCATTAGGACATTTTCTTTCCTACCAAGCATTAGACTTGACATTATCGCGACTTTAGTAATAAGGTTTTAAGGGTTTCAGCAAAGTGTACTGAGATTTCATCAAAGATAAACTTACCTGGGTGTTGATACTTTTTGCATTTGTTGTATCTTGGATTCTGATTCATCGCGTTGCTTCATTACTTCATTCAACTGGTTTTTCAAAAGTCTGAAAATAGAATAGACTTGCTGAATAATTATAATTTGCCTAAAGTCAAACTATTCAGTTTAGTATGGACACGTTCATCCTATATATATATATATATATATATATATATATATATATAGCTGCAGTGATTCAGCGTATGAATGCTCGCCAGCCATATGTGTAATTCTGCTTCGATTCCCGGTAGACACATTCCCAAACCTCCATTAGCCGGTAGTAAGCACAATAAAGTGGGAAGATTGGGCATCAGGCTAGCAAGCCCACTCTGCAAAAGAACACCACTACTACTGAAACTTCACACCACAAACATGAAGTCGTGTTTTCCACTCAGAGCGCAAAAATATGACAAAATGAAATAAATAATGTGACTTATAATCATAATTATTATCTTACTTAAATGATTCATTCAGTCCTTCGTATTCCTTCATTTTGGCTTCAAAATCATTTTTTAATTGGAGATTTTCTTCCAATAACATATCATATCGGTTCTTTGGCATAACATTGACATATTCTGCTTTTAATTGAACTAATTCAAATTCGGAAACTGATTGTGCTTTCCTTGCTTGTCTAAAGAAAGATTTGAAAATAAAGTAGAAATATGTGTATACAAAGGGAGAATGATAGTGAAACAGATCTTCCTATTGAATGTTACAGTCTGCATGAGTTATTATGCTGTGATGGTTAACTGTTAAATATTGATATGAAATACCCTCATAACCATCAGAACGTATTATCTATCATTACAAAAGTGTGGGTTTCATGAAGCCACTGTAGTGAGCATAATGTTATATTATTCATATATAACTTCGATAATGATGATTTGAAGTTACTATTTCAAAATCATTTAGAAGTGATACACAGTTGTAGCATGTGTGGATTCATGATAACGGTTTCCTATCATTATACATGAAATATGAATGGGATAATACCATAGTCTTTTCGATTTTCGGACAAGATAACCACTTTTTTAACGAAAACTTCAAAGTAACTCTAAATTTATGTGCTTATAAGTACAAATGATGCCATTCTTGAGTTTTAGCATCTGCTGGAGTTAACTTTATGCTGAAGAAAATAACCAGAAAGGGAGAAAATGAATTATTCTTTAACAATCCCTATGTCATTGTTAATGAGAGGGATACTATTAATTATGCACAAAGATGGCATTAAGGGTAAGTAGAAGGAACAAGATTCGACTTTTAACATTACTGTCAAGTCAGTGTTTCTATATGGTTAAGAGAACTGGAGCACCATGAAAAGCATTTCCTACAGGTCTCTCCTCAGACCTCCATCAATAGATGCCACCTTTGTTGCATACTGAAGACCATATGGTCAGCTGGAAAGGATTAGCAACAAGAAACTTTGGTAATAAACCAACCAACAACCTATCGCCCAACAAATATACAGAAGATAATTGATTGGACACACGGGGAGAAGACAGTTAAATGGCAACACACCCAACAGCCACAAGTGGAAAGTGAAGGAGAAACAACGTATTGGGAGTTCAAGAATGATATGGAGGAGATCATATGAGAAGGAGATGAAATCTTGTGAGGAGTCGTGGAAAAAACTACAGAAGATGGCAAAGAGTAGGCTGATATGCAACTGTGCTGCTGAAGCCCTATAATTCATTCAGATTCCAAGAGGAAAATAATAATATAGTATTGATGACAGTTTCTGATTATTCCTCATTGGAAGCATGGCTTCATTAAAGTTTATACCTTCTTCTAAAAAGTAACGGTTATTTTACAGAGTTTGTGGCATTTGTGTACATTATTAATGTTACAGAATTAAATGAACTGATACTTCACCATGATCTTTTAGGGTACATACTGAAAACTTTTTATTTAGTCTGAATAGTTTTAAAACTTTCCATTAATTATTGATTATTGAATATGGCCTTTTAAGAAATACTCCTGTGTATTTAGCAATGTAATAGATGTCTACACAAATATAATTATAAGTGATACTCACTCTAGAGCTATTTTCAAAAGAATTGGATCGTCATTCTCATTTGTTTTATTTTGTGCATGTTTAGTGATTACTTCAATTTCATCAAATTGCATTCGCATTGCATTAATTTCTGAAATTAACAAAAGCTTTGCATCTGCTTCATATCGGAATTTTTCATGTTCTTCCTTCAATGATTGAGTTAAATGTCCAACCTGCAGTTGGGATGAATTGGGCAAATTGTGAGAACAATCCAAATAATCTGATGGAAAGGAATGCACATTTTTCAAATGAGAATATGCAGAAGTTTAGTGATATATGAGTCACTGGTGCAGATGCTTTCACTCTTTGTAATCTCCTTGACTAAGAATAAGGTTGGAGGAGTTAAAAGTAGTCAAACTGAAACATAGGATCAATCTGCGCAGTCTTAGTCGTAGGTTAGTTGTTAGTTGCAAGCTGCCCGTCTAGTCGGGATCCTCAGGATAATAAGAACCCGTTGATAAAGACTACTTATGATATGTCAAAATCATTCTTAGTGGCGCAGATACATTCACTATATTTAATCTCCTTGATCTGTGTTGATGGTGTTTTTCCATGCAATTATTGTTTTTTCCGTACATTTCTGCTGATTATAGTTCGTTCGAATGTCCTTTTTCTCTCTCTTATCTGCCTTTTCGTGCCGTATGGAGTGTGGTGACTTGAACTGCTACACTTCTGTGTAAAGTTTTACTTTTAAATCTACCCTTTCAGTCAACCAGTACAATTTACCACTTACTGAACACAGATCACATCTACTCGTAAATGAGAATCCGTACCGACTATCATGATAGTGTTTTGTCACAGATCATACTTTTTAAATACAGACTAATTGAGGTTTTAGAAAATATCAACACTTTGACACAAAATGAATGTATTAAATTAGGATTCTAAAATATGACAAAATTATAAAACTACTTATTGTGCTAAGGGTTCTTAAACCAACTAGCGAAACTAACCAAATAATTTTTCAACGTCTGGTCTGTAGGAATTCTGTCAATTACGAAATTAATCAAGGGCTGACTTCAGTTAGAAATCCATTGCAACCCAGGGAATTCCGGAGAGCTGCCTCGACTTCGTATAGAAGTCTTCATCATTACACACCCGATCAGGGGTTGAACTCCGAACCTTCGGGCTACGAGGTGTAACTAAAGGAGTCTGCCAATTTGAATGAGAGGACGAATATTAATCGATGACGCTGGGTGGTGGTCGCGCTATATATCATGAATCAGAAGAAGTAGTAAATAACTGGCTATTGTATTCCGTCCCACTGAGTCAATGGTCAACGAGCTTGCCTTGAAACCTGAAGGTTCTGGATCCGATCTTTGATTGTTGCATACTGCTGAATAGTCCCGAACCCGGATGAAACGGTTGAGCAGTACTTAATGGTTTCCAATAGTTCTCTAACTGAAGTCATTTCGTGATCAATCTTCAGTTATTATTATATTATATTACTATATTATTATATATATTATATTCTTTTATATTATTATATTATAATAACCACAGTAATTACTTGGAATTACTTACCTCAGTTATTTACCCTTCACAGTTGACTAAGACTAAATAACAACATTTAGATATTAAACCGTTCTAAGCAACATAATTGAAGTCAGTTTAATATTAGGTTTATTGAAACTTTGATCACGTACAATCAAACTAAAACTGATTCTCAACGTCCACAACTATTTATTTTGAGGGAATATGGTTGTATGCATCCTGAAGCATTGAAAAGTCGTGAAATGTTTAGTATACTTTATCAATTTAAATCATAGTATTCAAGTGTTTCTGGGTTCGATTCTCGGCCGACGTACTCCTTGTGAAAAGTTGTAAGTGGCTCACTGATAATACGAAACGGATAGGTATAAACTAAGGAAGACCTAGAATAACTGCTTATGAATTCACTTTTTATGCGACTTCAAATGACTAGAAAAGAATGTGGTTAAAGACAGGAAAAAAATCAAGTGAAAGCAATAACACAAGATGTAACAACAGAAGACAAGGGCCAGGCAACAGAACGTTTATTACGGAAAATCACTACGTATTTATTGATTTTGATGTACATTATTGTAGGTTAATGTTAGTAGAAAATACAGTCTGTTGATTGGTTGTTTCTCACACACAGTTAACCTTGTACCTCTCGTGGCTGTGTCAGTTCATCTATATGTTAACTGTATCCGCTTGTCCATCTTGACCTTGACCTCAATTACTGTCAACCAATTTGGCTAACAACCATCTCTCACCACAACATGACTAATATTTGATACACAAACATTGACTCAATTACTGTCAACCAATTGGCTAGTAGACAGCTCTCACCACACTATAGAAAGTTATAAGAAAAATTGGGAGCAGTGATGAAGGAAATTAATTCAGTTTGCCGTTATCAACATGACACTTTAACCTTGTAGTAATCTATGTTTTATAATGTACTTATTAAGCAGGAAGTAACAAGGAGAAACACAAAGAAGTGGAAATAATGCAAAAGTATTGGAATGCTGCAAGAAAAAGTTAGGAAATATAAGGCGAATGAAAAACTTAGCATGTAATTATGTCATATATATGCTATTAAAACGTCTGTACAACTGCGATCACTTTCAGAACATCTTACCCACAGTCATCACTCCCACCTTACAAATGTCACTTGATTTCTTTCTTCGAATAAATATCCATGGCACTAAGCACTTTAGGATCACTGAATTCCAAAGTGGAACTAACAAACCTTCAGCCATCCATTTTGCTCATATAGTATTGTATGACTAGAACGTACACATTTCTGTGCCCTGTTTCTATCGGTAGCCATTATTTCAGTGGATGAAATCATGTCTTTACCTGTCTCACTCTTAATTGTCTAACAGTCCAAATCTACTTTCCCTAATATCACACATTTGAAGTCAGTAGTGGACAATTATAATTCCGGCTCATTTGGTTTGTTTTGTGCCTTGTTATTGACAAAAGAATTATTTTACTACAGAGAAGTGATACAATACAGTTTATTTCTATGCGAGTTGAGGGAGTGCGTCAACCAGGGATCGAACCCCAGACCACGCGCGCGGATGGCGAGCATTCTACCGCTATGCCATTGGCTCACAAAGCCAGCTCCTCCACCGGGGATCGAACCCAAGCCTTCCGGTTGACAGGTGGAGATGCTCACCACTATACAATCAATCTACCGTATGCCAAAATCATAATTTGTACGTGTCTTCTGTCTTTCGCTTCCTAGTCTTCATTTCATGTTTTCCATGTCGTTTGGCAAGAATAGTTCATTCCTTTTATTCACCATTATATCTATCTCCCCGCCATTTGATATTCCTTGAGATGATATGTATATTTATAATTGTATCAATACACTACTTACAAATCTTTTCCGTATCACACGCCACAGTACTATGTTGTCTTTAGATTCCTTGTTATTCATATTATGATGATTATTTACCCTAGTGCTGCTACTCTATGAGGGCATTATTCCCTTAGTTTTCTTATTTGATGTTTGTGAACCACTGTCCAGAATTCTAGCTCGATTGCCCAAATGTTAGACAAAACTGACGTTTAGTGAGTTAGGGTGAGACAATCTGAACTTTTCCAGCATATGATCTGGTATAGCTATTTACACTTCGCAAGTTACTTCTTCGGGTATAAGGACCTGCTTTGGCATGCATTGTACCTTGCGCAAATGTCAAATACTCCCTCAGTCCTAAGACATCATTCAAAATGGAAGAAGTAAGCTAAAGATTAACCTCGCCTAGTTAACTAGCGTGCTAGTTTTCTAGCCGGTCCCAAACCAGGGTAAAGAGAGAGGGTTGGGCGTGGGGCTAGCAGTCCCACACCACTAAATCTTCCAAACCGCTAAAGAAACTTCAACACACAGAAAATATATTAAAAATTCAAAAACTTCAAATAGGAACAATCTTATTCTTCGCTCGAATTGGAGAGGCGACACAGCGGGCTGGCAAAAGCCTTCGGGAAGCCAGTCAGCCAATGTGTCTTCTCTCGATAAAAGCAAGAGTAGGAATGAGTACGTGGATGTGGATTGGCTACATTGTCAACGGGAGAGTCAATAATCTACTCCGGTCATCCAGACGACAACCACGAACATACTGAGGGAGTGGCTATTATGATGTCACCAGTGGCAGCCAAAGCCTTAATGCAGTGTGAACCAATTTCATTCAGGATGATGACAGCAAGATTCAACTCCAAAGGAAGGAAGGTCACAGTTATCCAATGCTACGCACAATGCTACAAACAACGCGGAACAAGAGAAGGAGAATTTTTTCAAACAACTACAAACAGTAATGGAGAAAATCCCAAATGATGACATCAAAATCCTTATGGGCGATATGAATGCAAGCCATACTGGGAGCAGATGATACAGGAAGATAACTCATCATGGGTCGAGAGGCTCTCAGAGGAATGAATGAGAACGGAGAATCATTCTCAGACTTCTGCTCTTTCAACGATTTGGTGATCGGAGGGAGCGTGTACACACACAAGGATATACACAAAGCAACATGGATTTTGCCTGACGGACAAACCACATACCGAATAGATTTCATCTCAATCTCAAGGAAGTTGAGACGCAGCCTGCTGGATACAAAGACGAGAAGGGGAGCAGATGTGGGCTCAGACCATCATCCAGTTCAAGGAACCTTCAAGATGAAGGTGAAATCCATGAAAACAAATGGAGACGGACCATAATTCAAGTTCAGAATTCAGAAACTGAAGGACAGAACTACAAGGGATGCCTTCGCTACAGATCAGATCAGAGCAAAGTCGGATACGCTATGTGATATCACTGAGGAAACCTGCGTGGAAAAACATGGAAACTCTCTGAAGGCGATGTTCAAGAAACGTGTACAACTGCTCTAGGAAGAAGGAAGAGACAAGACAGGGAATGGCTCTCAACGGATACCTGGAAGCTAATCGAGGAGAGGAGGATAGCACAAGAGAAGAGGAATCACTGCATAAATGGACAACAGAAGGAGAAGATGAGTTCAGTGTACACTACACTGAATAAAGAAGTGAAGAAGAGTGCTAGAAAAGACAAACGACAATTCTACGACACACTGGCTGGCGCAACTGAAGCAGAAGAGGCCGCAGGAAAAAGAGACATCAGATAACCAAGTCCTTATCCGGGAAAAGATCAACCAAGATGATGGAAGCAATAAAAGATGCTCAATGGAACCTGATCACCAAGGAGGAGGGACAAATCAAACAAACACTTTAACGGACTCTTGAATCGACCACCACTGGCAGCTTGCCCAGATATACCACCAACAGTACGCACGGAAACGCGTGTCAGTGAACACCACTCCCTCAAGGAAAGAAGAAATCCTGAATGCTATCAAACTACTGAAATCAAGCTGGGAGGGTAGCAGGACCAGACGGCATTCCTCCCGAATCACTGAAGATGGCCCCAGAGATTACGGCAGATGTTCTCACTCCATTACTGCAAAACGTTTGCAAAGAAGGAAAGCTGCCTACTGATTGGAAGAAGGGTTGCCTCTTCAAACTGCCGGAGAAGGGCGACTTAGATCTGTTCAAGAACTGGCGTGAAATAATGCTCTTCTCCACGCCAAGTAAAATACTAAGTCGCATCATCCTGGAGAGAATTAAGGATGCACTGGTTACAGAACTCCACCACCCACCGAAACAAACTGGGTTCAGGAAAGGAAAATTATAAGCTGATCAAATTGCACCTCTACGCATTGTCGTCACAGAACAAAGCATAGAATGTCAGTCAAACCTCAACCTCAACTTCATCGACATAAAAAGGCCTTCGACAGCGTTGGCCGGGAAGTAATTTGGAAACTACTTCAACAATAGGGCGTAACCCAAATCTCTATCAACCTCATTCAACAACCAGATGACAACGCCAAGTGTTAGGTGATCCACAACATTAAACTCAGCGAGGCGTTCGAAGTTCATACAGGAGAACGACAAGGCTGCCTGCCTGTTTTCACCGATGATTTTCTTAACTGCGGTGAACTAGATTATGTGTCAGACTGTTGGGGTCGAGGAGTTGGAAATACGCTGGACGACCGATAAGAAGTCTCGAGAAGATCTGAATTTCCCAGATCTGAATTTAGTGCCACACAAACTCGAAGACTTATGGGCAAAAACCAACAAACTGGCTGAAGAGGCAGCCAGCGAAAACAGGACTGCAGGTGAACACAGAGAAGATGGATGTGATGAAGATAACCAATCAACAGCAACAACAACCAGCACCAATCACCATCAGCAGGAGAGATTTAACAGAGATTGTCTCCTTCACTTATCTAAGAAGCATCGTCTCAACTACAAGCGGAACGGACGGAAATGTCAAATTTAGAATCAGAAAGGCAAGATATGCCTTCATCAACCTGAAACCAGTTTGGAAATCTTCTGCACTCAGTATAAGGAGAAAGATTCGGATTTTCAACACCAATGTGAAGTCGGCTCTTCTATACGAGTAAGAAACTTGAACTAAGTGTCACGCAAGGGACTTCCAACAGGATGCAGACTTTAATCAACAGTTTCCTTCGCTGACTCCATACTGAAGATTAAATGACTGGCCAGAAAGAATAAGCAGCAAGAAACTATGGGAACAAACCAACCAGGAGCCGATCGCTCAACAAATATGTAGGAGAAAGTGGAGATGGATCGGACATACATTGAGGAGGCCACCGAATGACATCGCACTCCAGGCCCTCCAGTTGAATATAAGTGAGAATCGACGAGTGGGTCACCCTAGGGCTACATGGAGGAGATCGAGCGAGGAAGAGAGGAGGGAGTTCGGTCGATTGTCGACCCAGATGAAGAGAAAAAGTGGAGATGTGTTGTTGAAGCCTTATGTTCTACTCGGAATGCAAGGGAATAATAATACAATAATAATAAGCTGAAGATTGAATTCAGGTATTCGGAATAGTCTCAGTTAGAAAAAAGAAGAGAAAACACTCAGCATCACTTGCAATTTCTATCTGATTTTTTTTCATTTGATTTTTTGTGGGCAATGACAAAACGAATGCGCAATTGAAAAAGCTAGTGAAACCGATGGAATTAGGACGTCTTGGCCTAGGAAGGTGGTTCATATAAATTCAACCAAAACGAGTACTTCACTAATATTTTAATTTATAGAAAGAGATATCACTTTTAAGTATACTTCATTTTCATTTAAAAGTAGTCGCTGAATTGGTAAGGACTCAGTAATATGATGTAAATGTACATAGCTTACTTCATTGTTCACTGAGTCTACACCCAACATATGCAACAGAAATGACTCAATGCAAATACCAGAAATATGGAAGATATTATTACCGCCGGTCAAATCAGAAGAAAATAATGAATAATCTTAATATTCTATGTCAATTAAAACAAATCACAACATTCTAAGAAGTAACTTATTATGACTATAGAAACCCTCGTTTTATTTCCCATCTGATTGTAATTGATCAATAACACTAATATTGTTATTTCAGAATGTACATTATCCTATATTGATTTTTATTCAAATATCTAGTCAATTCCACATATGCATATATAAATGAAGGAAAAAAGTTGTGTGAGTAACTTGATATGATTATGAGCAATAGTTTGTACTCGAAACATCGTCAGTTAATATTACTGTATAACTGTGTGATTTATGGAAATACAATCTTATCCATAATGGAGTTATACTCTACCATAGTGCCCAAGTTTCATACTTATATCAATAGCTTACTTCAAATTTGATCAGGGATTTATCGTAGTCAGAAAACCATTGAGAATCAAGAAGTGCTTGACAGCTGTTTTGTCTGGCTCTGGAACTTTTATCAGCGCGCAGTAATATTGTGAGTGGTGAAACTTGAAACGGATTAAATATCCACTAATTAACTCTTGAAAGCATTCATAGCAAACTAGTTCTAAATTTTCCTTATTAATCCAGTCAAATTGATGTTACTGGTATTTATGGAAAAATAACCTGGACAAACGTTGCTGGTCTGAGTTAACTGCTCGGAGAAAGCGTAATGAGTGTGGTAGAGATAATAACTTATATCAGTACATTGTACACGTACTTGATGGATGGAACAGTAGGCATATAATGAAATTCTCATGAGTAGCAAGTGCTATCTCTAAACCAATTTATAATTCCTAGTAACTTTACCAAAAAAGTTATTGAGAGAAGGGTGGCAAATAACTTTCCACACTCATTTAATTTTTTCCAACAAAACAATAATTTTGTTATATGTCTACTACTTTATCGGAAAGAAGTGTCTCCAATATTGCCATAATTTCGTAGTTTTCAGAATAAATAAAGAGAAAGCTGGACATTTATGAAAAATATGGGAAAATATGAAATAGGAAACTGATCTCTCACCTGAGTTTCTAGGCCCAATTTCTCCTCTTTTAATTCTGAAATCAAATCTCTAAGTCGTACAATTTCACGTCTTAAGCTATTGATCTCTTGTAAAGTCTTTTTAAGGTGATCAAATAAATACCTGGTTTTTCTTTCTTTTGAATTTTAAGAATACGTTCATCACATTCTTGGGAAATCGTCCAGAGATACTCCTGAATTCGACAATGTTAAGTTGACAAAATGTCATTTTAATTCTTACTTTTACTGGCCTTAACTTTTGAGCCTCAGCTTTATAAAAGTTGAGGAACTCTTCGTATTCTTGGTATATTCTGGAGAGAAAATGTTTGTAGGTTTTAAATGAACAAATAAATGACTGGAATGCTTCTTTGAAGATCTACAGCATTCATAGAATTATTTTTATTTGTAACTAACTTGAAATCTAGAGTCTCTGTCACCTGGTTGTATGTCTTTTAGTCCATCTGCTATATTTTTTTCAAGCGTTTCCAGGAACTTTGGTTTAGGAACCAAATTTGAAATTTCTTCACCAATGATTTTTCAATTCAGTCGAAAGTGCTTACTTGTTTCGACTTCTGATAGTGGAACGATTCTGCTGTTTACAACAGAAACTTGAGATCTCGCATAGGATCTTCCGGTAGCATGAGCAGGCCACTTTTCCAAGAAATCCACGGAGTCGGTCATTATTTCAAAATCGTGCCGTTAATCGTCATGACAACATATTATCCAATATCCAATATCCTGATTACGAGCTAGTATAAACCAGTGATTTCTTTGAGCTCGCTTCTTGATTGTAAGGTAGAGGTTCCAGATCTTCGGTGAACTTATGCGTAGTAAGTCCCGTCACTCGACTGCTTTAGCTCTGGTAGACTCCAAAAGGAGTGGCGCGGGGATTGGTCAAGATTGTGGTTTGTTGTATGCAGTATGTTAGGACTCAGCTGCTGCCGTGAATGGAGTTTGACCTAACTCCCGTTGGTCATTTGGTGTAGTCATAAAAGCAGAATAGTAATAATAATATGTTGTAGTGTAGATAATATAGGTTGAGGTAAGTGAAATAATAAGGTGACTTAAGGAAAAGATAGAGTAAATGGTTCAGTGAGAGGAGACAGGACGGGTCGTGGGGATTTAGTTTGTATGATTATCCATTGACAGTGTGGTTTTAAATCTTAAGAAGATAAGCCATTGAGACACGAACCATGCATTTCTGCATGATAGTCCAGCTTCCGCTTAAAAGTCTCCACAGATGGCGCTGTAGTTACGGCCGCCGGTAAAGCGTTCCAGAGACGGCAAACTCGAAGCGAGAAGAAATATGAACGCACTCGAGTCTTTGGTCTCTGGTGTGCTATCCTTAGCGGGTTACCTCGTGGAAGCCTATAACCACTTGATGTCAGGATGCTTTTATTTCGGTGGGCCCGGTCATTTAAGATCTTGTAGACGGTGATGAGGTCTCCCCTGTGACTACGGTAACTAAGTGTGAAAAGACTTAATTTCTTCAGTCTTTCGCAATATGATTTGCTGCGGAGGCCGACCACCCATTTTGTCGCTCGTCTCTGGACACTTTCTAGAGTTTCAAGTGTTGGTTTGTAGGGATTTTCATCATGAGCTGACATTAGTTAGAGATCTATTGGAAAACCTGGGAGTACTGGACAGCTGTTTCGTCCCAGTTTCAGGACTCTTCATCAGTACGCACCCACCGGGATTCGAGCCCAGGACCTGGTTACAGGGCGAGCTTGTATACCATTAAGCCACTGGGACCCGATCCAGTGGCCCATGAATTCTAACTTCTGCTAATTCACGACATAGCGCGACTGCTGTAGGTGCGTACTGCTGAAGAGTCCCAAAACTAGGACGAAACAGCTGTCCAGTACTCCCAGGTTTTCCAATGGTTCTTTAACTAATGTCAGCTCATGATGAAAATCCTGTAACTTTCTAGAATGTTAGCATCCCTTTTGAGTAGTGGAGGAGCAGTGATATTATGCACCTCAAGGTGTGGCCTCACGTATGTCTTAAATAACCTAGAGAATAGTTCGAGAGTAAGAGCTCCCAGCTGACTATGCATAAAGTGTAAAGTTGCGAAGGCTTTGGTAACGTCCCTCGTGTAATTTCCACTGGTGTCTAGGTTTTCTGTTAAAATAAGACCTAGGTCACGTTCTGATGGCACACAACTCAAGTTCTGGCCACCAAGGGTGTAAATTTACTCTCTGTGACCTGCCGGAATGAAGTTTCACTACTTTGCGTTTCTTTAGTTTGAGGGGTCTTCCGTTAGCCAGAGCCCAGTCTCCCAGAGTTTGCAGGTCAGCCTGCAATCTGCCTGAGTATTCCGATGAGTTTATTGCTCTCCAGATCTTTACGTCGTCAGCGTAAAGAAGCGCAGAGCAGTTCAGTTGACAGGGCAGGTCGTTGATAAAAATCAAAACATCAACGGCCCTTAGATAGAACCCTGAGGAAACCCTGATGCCGAGGTGCGCCAGGATGATCGAATGCGCCACAATATAAGTCCCCTTTCTACCCTAATAGGTTCTGAGTTTTCAGGGAGTGACCACGAAACAGTGCTGTGTGCACTGCCACTTCCGTCAAGTAGCAATGCAAACCATGCCCCTACTTCACAACAAATAACTTACAGGAACTACAGTAAGGCAGACTGGACTCTAGTGAAATCAATGTTAAGATCCTCAGAATGGAGAGAGTACTTCATTACTGATGACCTCTCGCGAGCTCTGAGCATCTTCTACCATAACTCCAACACATGCTTAGATGCTGTCATTCCACTCCAAACCCTTGAGCTTTCCGCACATACGAAGTCATTCACAAAACCAAAGGATCGCATGAAACTGAAGAGACTCTCAACAAGCTACTTCAAACACCACGACTTTGGCACACTAGGTTTAATACTTAGCACCCTTAGTTCCATCTCACAAGCTCGAGATTTGTGTATGGGAAACGAAGAACGCATCGCAGTAGCCAGTCCTGCTAGAGTGTATGCACTCACGGAAATCTTAAAGAAGCGAATGAATCGCAGAAATCACAGCATTTCCCTCCTCATAGACAAAGGTAGGCTATGCACTATTTCTGCAGACATGTGTGGATTATTTAACTCAACTTTTGCAGGTAACTACCATAAGCCCTCAGTCCGGTTACTCAATATACACCCTGCTACTAATGTGGCACAAACTCCATCTCCACACACACCAAACTTAATTAGTACTGTTGAATTTAACTATACTAACATTAAACAAACTATAAGAACCCTAAATTGCTCAAAAGGTTTCGGTACTGACGGCATATCATCCTATTTTTATAAATATGGTGGCCCTGACATTCCCTTACTACCGCTTAAAATATTCTCAATGTCCCTGGAAGCCCAAACTTATCCTAATGTGGAAAACAACGTTTATTATGCCTAAACACAAATCTGGCTCGAAAACGGAAGTCAGTAACTACAGGCCAATTTATATCACACATATAGCATCTAGAATTATGGAGAGACTAGTTAAAGACAACCTAATGAAGCATATGCTTAGTTGCAACATTATAAGTCCGAACCAACATGGATTCCTAATATCTAGGTCTTGTTTAACATGCCACTTAGACTTCTTTAACTTTGTGACCAGCAGTCGTGACAGACGACAACTAGTACTTGTCATCTACTTTGACATCTCAAAGGCATTTGACCGTGTCGACCATTTACTATTAGTGCATAAGCTGAAATCCTTAGGAATACGTGACCCACTATTAGGATGGCTTAAATCATTCCTTAACAATAGGTCCCAAATAATTAAACTCGGATCTATAACTTCGAAACCTAGCCCAGTCACCTCTGGTGTAGTACAAGGTAGTGTCATTGGACCCCTTCTATTTACCCTATATATTAACGACATGTGCGCTTGCTTTTCTCATGGGAAACCATTCATCTTTGCAGATGACCTCAAAGTAGCTTTACATTCCAATCTGATGACCTAGGGTACTTCCAGAATTCCATATTAGTTTGTTTATTAGGTATATCACACAGTGAAACAGTATTATTTACTGGATGACGTTTCGAACAAAATTTATTGTTCATAATCATATCAATTGTGATCACACGACTCAAGTGTCAAAGTTGTGTGATCACAATTGATATGATTATGAACAATAAATTTTGTTCGAAACGTCATCCAGTAAATAATACTGTTTCACTGTGTGATATACCTAATAAACAAACTAATACGGAATTACTTACTACCACAGTGCCCAAGTTTTACACTTATACTTACAGAATGTTGTACAAAAAGAACTAGATAAAGTGACTGCTTGGTCGTCATTATGTAACCTCCTTAAAAAATGTGGCTGGATCTGCTTCGGTGCACCCTCAGTTGACATGAAGTTAACGCTTCAATCGGCTAACCTAACCAAACTCCAAAGTGTCGTTGACCTAGGTCTGAGGTACTCGAGTAACCTAACATTCTCTGAGCAAGTGGCATCACAGACTCAAAAGTCGAGGATGCTTTTAGGATGCATACTCAGGAACTTTCACGACAATGAAGCAAAGCTCATTCTGTACAAAACCTGTGTGAGGCCACAACTAGAATACTGTCCATTTGTTATTAGCAGCACTCACACACGTGAAAAGCTAAGAATAGAAAGTATCCAACGATATTTTACCTCGAAACTACTAGGCTACGAATGTAAGAAAGACTACATCTCACGGTGCATGATTCTACAACTTGACCCACTCTGGACAAGACGACTAATTATAAACCTAGTATTCTTCTATAAGGTCCCACACACAATATCATTCTCAGACATTAAGGACATACAATTCGCACAAGAAGGCTCTTACGATCTCCGTAACCAAAATTGCACAGTGACAATAAAAGCCTTTAAGTCAACACTCCGCGAAAACTTCTTCACAGTCATGTATTCTAAAATATGGAACAATCTGCCCCTAGATGTCAGGAACTGCAATACAGTTTTAAGTTTCAAACGCTCTCTGTACACATTATTCCACTCTACCGACTATATAAATAAACCATCTATTCCTAGAACGAATCAACTATTAGTCTTCTACAGTACCTAAACGCGCTTAAATACCCTTACTTCTCTAAAGACTATAAATAAACTAGTAGCATAAATGCATAAAAAGACATAGTAGAAACAAATTTTTGTTCATCAAATTTCAATGTACAACGAATATAAACAAATGTTTTTGACACCACATACTTTTTCTTTGTCCTCTGGTACATTTCTGTTGTATTTACTTTGTAGTACAAGTTGCATTGATCTACATTCCGACTGAAGCTGAGAAACAATTGAAGTCACTTACTCATATATTATCCCTCAAGGTTTGGCTAGTAATGGCTCAGCATCCTTGATGAAATCCACTGTCACCATAACTAGACGCTGTACAGCATCTTATACAAGCACTGTCAACAATCTAAAATGGTTTTTATATAGCTTTCTACGTGTTTATCAACTTACTCGTACGGAGCAACCATGCTGTGACACATGGTGGGCTATGGGTGACTTGAGTGCAGTAAAACAAATCTGCTTGAAATTGACCAATATTAATCTGCATTCAGTTCAATTCACATCTGGTATTACTTGCGAAAAGATGATGTCAAAATCATAAAAATTAATCACTCATTTTAAATTAATACCCAATTTGAACATAAAACAAGATACGATGCCGCACACAACAAAGTTATATGGAGGAATTGACTTCAAG